GCGATAAGTTCTCTACTGCCTCTAAGTGTAGACAGCTCCTCTCTACCATCTACACAGTAGCGATAAATTCTCTGCTGCCTCTGGTACTCCCCCCTCCCCATGGTTTCATGTAGCTCAGACTGGCTTTGAATTGCATAGGTAGCCAAGGCTGGCCTTGAACTCGGTCTTCCTGCCTCAGCCTCCCGGGATTACAGGCATATGCCATCATGCCTGGCTCCAGTAAATTCTTTCACTACCCATTTCCTGACAGGGCAAGGCTTGTGAGACCTGTGCTGGGTCACCGCAGACACTGCGGCTGGGTGACAGCTCTGTGGGTGGGCGGAAGGCGAGGCTGGAGGACAGGTGGAACATAAACCGAGCCCAGTCATTTCCAGACAAGGCCAGCGTCAGGGTGGCAGCGCAGTGTTACATGAAGACAAACTGTTCCAGCTCCTGGGGCGGCAGAGTCGGGCATACCACAAGGTCAAAACTGCCTAGGCTACACTGTGGGGCCAGCTCAAACTAAAAAGAGAACAAGGAGGCCTGGGGCTGAGGCTCAGGGCTTTGTCTGGTGTGTATGAGGCCTTGGGTAAAGTCCCAGCACAACAAAAAAAGAAACTAAAATACAGCTCACACCTATAATCCCTGAATTTAAGTAGGGCCCCTGCTCATACCTATAATCCCTGAATTTAAGTGGGGCCCCTGGCTCACACTTATAATCCCCAAATTTAGGTAGCAGGACCCTGGTTTACACCTATAATCCCTGAATTTAGGTGGGGACCCTGTCTTATACCTATAATCCCCAAATTTAGGTAGCGGGACCCTGGCTCATACCTCTAATCAAGCGGAGGAAGATACATCTCTGTACATTCGTAGCTAGCCAGGCCCACATATCGAGTTCCAGAACAGCCAAGACTACAGAGAGATCCTGTCTTAAAAAAAAAAAAAAACCAACCAAACAAAACCATCAGAACAACTAGAACAATCTTAAACCCAAACCCAAATATCACAACAATTATTTGCTTGTTTCTCATCCCCTAGAAAACCCGAGAAAACTACTGTTTGTCATTGTTCTTTGGCATGGGCTCCACTGGTGGGCTCCTCTGACGGCTGAGAGAGCTCTCCCACGAGTTTCCAAAAAAGTTACCAAATCCTAACATGGAGGGGGGCTCTTCCCTCTTCTGGCCTCTGGTGGGTATGATAAACCCGCGCAGCCACTTCAGCAAACTCGGGCATCCCTCAGACTTAACGTGGGAGCTGAGGGAGACTCCTGCAGCTCTTTACTAGTTCCAAGAAGAGACGCCGAGGTTAGAGCGCCACCTGGTGGCAGGGCTGGCAAGTGACAGTCTGAGAGGGTTTCCTCTTTGGGACAAGGCAAACTCTCAACTATGACATCTCAGACAAGCTCCTGAGCCTCCTAGAATACAGTGTTTTGCCTCCGTGTGTCAAATGTTCCACATGCGTCTCAGAACTCAATACTATGACGGAGGTACCTGCTCCACCATCAGGAGCTACTCAGCAAAGTTCACCTGAGCCATATAAAATAGCATAGTTATTGTTAGGTAGCAAAGCTGCAGCTAGTCCGTGAGTCATGTGCTCATCACAGCCTCCCGAGGAAAGGGTGCAAGTCCCAGGACCCGCAAACAGCTGCCCCAGGCGCTGGGCTTTGTCACCAACCAGGCTTGTGAAACCATTTCTAATGAGACCCGGATTGCTATGGTCTCCGGCCACTTAGCCCAAACATACATTCTGTGGTGACCCTGAGCTGAAGATTAACTGTCTGGTCATTTAACTGCTGTCTGCCCACTTTGTAAACAAGTCTTGGTGGCCGCAGATGTCAGAGTTGCCTTTCTGTGTGCGTCACAGTTGCATTCACTGCCCTGAGAAACTCAGAGAAAACGGAGGTCGAGGCTGCTTCCAGCTTGCTACCCTGCTTGGAACAGTCCCGCTGACGGTAAATAAAGACTCCGTTGGACTTATTCAGGCATTTGGGGAGTTTCACTCCTCAGACACTCCATAATAAAACCAGTCAGCCAGCTGCAGCCTGCATCTGGCAAACTTCCGCTCTTTAAGCTTAAAAAAAAATTAAAGCATGCAGAATTAAAGAAAAGGATTTTTTTCTTTTTGACCAAGGAGAGGTCAAGCTGGAGATGAGGGAAGGAGCAAGCGGGGTTGGTGCTGTTCACACTCTATGTTCAGAAGGCAAACTCTCGGTGGACAGAGCCCCCCCTTGGCTCTCCCCTATGGTGCTGCTTCTGCCGCACTGCAGAACAACACCTTCATGCTGCTTTCGGAACTGCCTGGGATTTAATGGCGCTTTTCTGGAAGAGCCCAGAGGAGGTCACCTGGCTGGGGGAGCAGGGCAGACAAGCACACAAAGGTCTCTGGTAGAAAACACCTGAGCGTTGAGCTCAGCAGGATAAACTCATCACCCTGGCTTCCATTTAGGTTAGATTTGCTTGTTTGTTTGAGACTCAGGCCTGGACCAGACTGGCCTTGGGTGACCCCGCGTTCCCGAGTGTCGGGGTTACAGGAGTGCCCTGTAATCTCCCATCTTTGTAGGTGGCTCTGTTGTTTCTGAGCAGATTATCTGCACAAACTGGAGGCTAGAAGGGGGCTGTTTGCACTGTGAAGCTATCACCAATGATTTGAGATGCTTTGTTATTTTGAGGAAGGGTCTCTCTTATAGCTCTGGCTGGCCTGGAGCTCACTATGTAGACCAGGACGGCTGTGAGCTCAGAGTCCTGACTGCCTCTGCCTCCAAAGTGCTGGATTAAAGGTAGCACCAACCACCAGTTTTAAATTAGATTTTTGGTGGAGACAGGGGAAAACTGGTCGCTAGGGTGTTTCAGAAGTCCGCATCAAGGAACATGAATCTGTTCCCAACACATTCATGCAGATCTCCAGGCCAGGTTTCATGTCTGCGGGTCATCCCAGAGATCATGTGACAGACAGCAAGGATACTTTGTTAGACGTTGTGGCAAACCACAAAGGTTGCTATTGTTTCAATTTACACACAGAGAGACTGGAACTAAGCTGGGGGTGGGAGGCGGCAAGCTTCTTCCAGCTGGGATCTGACTCTGACTCCCCGCAGGGTTGTGCTTACAGACAAATAGCCCTCAAAGAAACAAAGTAACCATTAATCCTTGCAAGAGAGGAAATGTAGTGGAAAAGGTTGCAGGCTAGGTGGCTGGGGGTGCCGGCAATCTCAGCGCTTGAGAGGATGCTGAGCAGGAATGTATGTTGAGGCCAGCCTGAAATACACAGCAAGACCCCAACTCAAAACAATATCCCCCCCAACAGTCACACCACACTAAACCACACACACACACACACACACACACACACACCCTCTTAGTTGACAGGATTGGGCAATTTTGGGTAAGATTATCTGTTATTGTAAGGCATGTGATGGTCACATGCCAACCAGGTCAACCGATTCAACAGGTCCCAAGGACCAACTAGCTCTCCCAACTATGCTTGTTGATGTTGGAGGCAGGTCTTTCTATGTAGCCCTGAAGCTCACTGTGTAGACCAGGCTTCTGCCCCTGCGTGCTCAGGTCAAAGGCGTGCGCCACCACACCAGACCTTCATTTCCTCTCGGATCGGCCTCTTGCGACCGGTTCCCCCGACCCACTCACCATCGGGGCCCTGGCGGGCCGCAGCGTGCAGCGCCGTGTTGCCGTGGCGGTCCTGGTGGGCAGGGTCAGCCCCGAGACGCAGCAGCAGGCACAGGGCTGGGGCATCGTGGCGAGCGCAGGCCCTGTGCAGAGGAGGGGGCTGCCCGGCATCCACATCGAGGCCTGGGTGTCGCTGGAGGAGAGCCTGGGCTCGCACCAGCCGCCCTGCCGACAAGTACCGCCGGAAGCGGCGCTCTCGTCGTTGCCGGCGGGAAGCAGAGGCCATGGAACTCTTGGGCTGAGGAAGAAGTGGGAAATGTGAGGACCGAGTCGGCTCTTCCTACAACCCAGACATGCCCGCCTGCTGCTGCCTTCACCTCCCATCTCCCCTCACAACTCAGCAGAGACGAAGCTGGTCTACAATTTAAACTCTCGTCCCTGACCATCTGACAGGTTGAGGGTACCGGGAGGCAGAGTTGGGGGTCGGGGTCACGGGTTTAACTTTGGATGTAACTTTTGAGAAAATGATACACAATTGCTTTAAGGCTCCAGAGCCCAAGAAAAAAGTTCATTCTGGACTTTGGAGGGGAAAAGAAAACACAAAAAAATCAAGTAAGGCCAGAGCGGGGTTAATTTTCATCAGCCGGAATCTGAACTGGGGAAAAAGTGATCTAGAAACGGAATACAATGTACCCGACAGACAGACGTGGAGGCTTCTTCCTCGGGGGCCGAGGGGGAGGGGTGACTCATCAGACCTGCTCCCCGCCCCCCAGGACCCGCGGAGCCGGAGGCCCGAGGCCGGTGTTTAGGACGCTCGGAGAAGGGAGGCGGGAAGAGAGGAGCGCTCCGGGCGGGCGGAAATGGACCGCGGAGCCACCTCGGAAATCGTTCCGCCCGCACTGGGTGACTCGCGATTAGGTCTCCGGAGGGGAAACAAGGCAATCGCGACACAGGGTCCTCCTGAAACCGGAAGACTCGATCAGAGGCGGGGTTCGAGGGCGGAGCCGGGGCTGGGAGGCAGGAGGGCTGTGTGGAGGTTTATCTCGGACCCCTTCACTAGGAGGAGGGGAGGGATACTTTAATAACGGATAGAAAAAAAATGAAAAGAGAAAAAGAGAAAAGATGGGGAAGTAAAGATGAAAAAATTTACAATAAAAAAATTTAATCCCAGCACTTGGGAGGCAGAGGCAGGCCGATCTCCTGAGTTCGAGGCCAGCCTGGTCAACAGAGTGAGCTCCGGGACAGCCAGGGCTACACAAAGAAACCCTGTCTCGGAATACAAAACAAAACAAAGAAAGAAAGAAAAAAAATCACAATGAGGCCAAATATATAGGTAGATCCAGAACCAAAAATACATGAGACGACGCTAAGAAGGCAAACGTAGGACGGCAGGCGAGATGTGTGCAGACGTTCGGATTTGGAAAATCCAAATTTAAAAAAAAAGAAAGATGGGGGAGGGGCGGAGGGAGGCGGAGAGACAGAGCAGAGTCGGGAGTGTGAAACCCCTCGTACTTCTCTCCAAGCACACCCTTACCTTCCCTCACCGTGATCATCGTCTTTGCGTCTCCTCTGAGACCACCAACCGAACACTGCAGCCCCTCCTTCCCCCATCCTCAGCCCTGCACACCCGGGATCACCAAGGCACTGCACCTGCCGCCGTTAGTCAGCACAGGCCTGGTCTCTGCTGCCTCCAGGTGGCCATGTGGGGTACTACCTCAGCGCGGCGCTGGAGGAGGACCAGTCATCAGTGTGAGGATGCAGGAGAGAAAACGAGAGCATTAAGACCCAGTGGGAGTGGAGGACTGCAGCGACGGGCTGGAGGGTGGGAGCCATCTGGTACCTTGGTCGCCTTCGAAACAACATCCTCTCTAGTGGCAAAAATGGCCAGTCAGTCCCAGGGTATCCAGCAGCTCCTGCAAGCTGAGAAGAGGGCAGCGGAGAAGGTGGCCGATGCCAGGAAGAGTGAGCTTCCTCTTTCCTCTGGAAGGAGAATCTAGGGGCAGGGGATAGCGGGCATTTGAGTCCTTAGGAAAACCCAAGGATAATGTAGACAGAGCTGGGGGCTGAAAGCTTATTAGGATAGAAGTGGGTGGGTTTTAGAATCAAGCACTTGGTTGGTTGATAGGAAGTTGAATAACTTTCTGGAGGAGACTGGTTCCTGCTCGTACACCTGGGAGTGTGTGTGTGTGTGTGTGTGTGTGTGTGTCTGTCTGTCTGTCTGTCTATACCCACTGTCCTTCTGCCTCTAGGGAAGGCCCGGAGACTGAAGCAGGCGAAGGAGGAGGCTCAGATGGAGGTGGAGCAATACCGCAGGGAGCGTGAGCAGGAGTTCCAGAGCAAGCAGCAGGCGGTGAGCTGACTGGCAGCAGGGGTGGACCCACCCAGGTGCAAATTAGTGGGCGCCTCCTGTGAGATGTGTGCAGGTGCCTCAACAAGAGACTGGGGTGTGAGGGGACTGAAGAGACCCTGGCAACATCGATGAGGGGGCAGCCTTCGGTCTGTGTGGAGTGTGGCAATATTGATGGGGGGCAGCCTTCACAGTCTGTGGAGTGCGGCAACATCGATGAGGGGGGCAGAGTTTTATGGCCACTGTGGTGAGGTTTTAGACTCTGGGTGAGAAATTGGGATTGTGCTGACCTGTCTGGTATCTAGATGTTTTTTGTGGGGTGCATGTAGTTTTGAAAAGGCTTTCCAAGCTTTATTTGGGATCCTCCGTTCTACACGCTGGGACCTTTCTTTTTCTGTTTCTGCTTTTTTCTGTCCTCCGCCCCCAGGCCATGGGCTCTCAGGGGAACCTGTCTGCTGAAGTGGAGCAGGCCACCAGACGCCAGGTCCAGGGCATGCAGAGCTCCCAGCAGAGAAACCGGGAGCGTGTCCTGGCCCAGCTCCTTGGCATGGTCTGTGATGTCAGGCCCCAGGTCCACCCCAACTACCGGATCACTGTCTAGGATGTCACAGGGACAGTGTCCCTAGAGGCTGACTCCTGCCAGCTCCTTCCGCAGAGAAATATCCCAGCTTGAAATTGCTTGCTTGTGTAGCATGCACAGAGTCCTGGCTTTGATCCCTAGTACCCCCCGCTCCCGACACTTCACATATTAACCTGTTCCTGGGAGAGATTATCCTAGGGGACAGGAGCCAACATTCTCCTGCAAGACTTACAAACAGCCTACTCAAACCCGAACCTCTGTGTTCCATGAGACCACTGGAACTATACTAACGAATGCCCAAGTCATCCTCACCCGAGCCTTCTGTGAAGCGTGTGACATGGTGATGGGGGTGTGGAACGCACCCTGATTTCAGAGCTGGCGGGTTTGGGCTCCTCTCCCTCTGTTCCTTGCTGGCTGTGAGACTGGGACAAGCTATTTAACCTGCCCCAGCGCCCTCCTGTTCGTAACTGGAATGATAATAGTGCTCGCCTTGTAAGGTGGTGCTATGACCCGTGCTGTAAGAAGTCAGCACAGCTCCAGATGGGCACTAGTGATTTGATGAATGGCAAGTCCGTGTTATGACCACCACCCTGACCCCCACTTGCCTGCCCAAGTCCTAATAATCTGTTCTAGGCACTCCATGATGCTCGGTCATTGTGACTCCAGCAATCTCTAAAGAATGTCTGTGCTGCTCTTCCCAGGCACATCATGGCCCCTAAAAAGTCAGTATGATAATGTGTTAGCCCCTCTCAGAGTCCCAAGTGTATATTGAACCCCTTAGCACCTCTCTATGTTTCTTGTGAGTGGGTCTCCCTTTGGCTCTCCTTTCCTGTTTTCCCAAAGCCTACTTACTGCACCTCAGAGCTGAAGTGATGCGGTGATACCCACCTTCATGGGTTCCTTTCTGTGCCCTCAACACCCCGCTTCCCCGTGCAACACCAGTGTCAATAAAGTATCGACATCGTGTCAGCTGGTGATGGAAGCGGCCTCTTCTTGCCTCACCCTTTCTCATTTTGATTCACTCGCCTCAGAACTCTGCAAGAGGCTGAGCTGGGACGCTTTTTGGAAAAGCAAAAACACATAGTAATGTATTTATTTCTCTCAAGCGGGAACACGTGTGGCTCCTCGGGAACCGAGGCCTGCATAGGATAACAGTAAGAGACAAGCTGGTGTGTCGGGACAAGCCTCTGCATTTTCCCTTGTTCTACCTGCTTAAGTGCCTGGTGTGCCTGTGTGTGTGCGTGTACGTGAAAGAGTGAGAGAGAGAGAGAGAGAGAGAGAGAGAGAGAGAGAGAGAGAGAGAGAGACAGACTGACTCACAGTGTATCTGGTGTATCTTACTATGTATCCCTGGCTGCCTGGTTGTCCTGAAATTTGCTAAAAAGACCACCTGGCCTTGAACTCACAGAGATCCACCTGCCTCTGCCTCTTTAGTACTGGGATTAAAGACGCGTCACCACGCCTGGCTTGACATTGTATGTTTAGGTCTTGGCTCTCATTATGTAAAGTATCAGATGATAGGCTGTTGTGTACCCAGAGCCCAGGATAGCACTTGGTACATGATTGGCAGCTGGTGAATACCATAGAGTGAAATGATGCTGGGGTGGGAGACCACTCTGTGACTCCCGTTCTTGCAACAGCTCTCCTCACTACGGGAGGCGAGCTCCTTTCACTCAGGACTCGAAGCAGTGAGGTAACCTATAGTCTTTTCTTGCATGACTTTTCTGTAGGTAGACATAAAAGAAAGTCCATTTATGCCAGATAGTGCACTAATGAAAGACCTAAGAAACGTCTCCACCAAGTCTAGACTGGCAGACCAAGGGGCCCATTGGTGGTAGCATGGGTGATAGGTCACTCACACGCGTAGGGAGACCGGAGCAGCTTCTCATCAAAAAGTCATCTTCCTCCATGATCAGAGCTCTCTACATAACTTGTATGCAGATCCACCAGAGACTCCCATCACCAGGGACTGTTTACCGGTGACACAGTCTGGGAGAAGGGCTCTGTGTCTTGCAACTTCTTTCTGAGTCTTCTCTAATCTCATGGTGTGGGGGGGGTGTCAATCCAGAGGAAATAGCTATGCAAAATCAACCAGAGTTTTGAAGTAGGGAGACAGACGTGATGGGAAATTGGGATGCTTCCATCTTGGTGTGACTGTGCTACCTGGACTGCTTTGGCTGTCTTGCTTTATTCTCTGTTTGCTTATGTTTATAGTAGTTGAGCAGGGCATGGTGCCTACTGCCTTTAATCCCAGCACTTGAAGGCTGAGGTGGGAGAATTCAGAGTCTGAGGCTAGTCTGGGCCATATAACAGACTCAAACTCACTGACAAAGAAAAGGAATCACGGTAAGACGAGGACTCTCCTTGCTCTGGGCCACTGGCCCAGGTTTAAGCATTGCTAAAATCACTATGAATGTTAATGCGTCATTTATTTATCGTAAGGGCTCCTCTGATGTTCACCAACAGGTGGGGCAATTTAATTCTCTATTGACAGCTGTCCGACAATTCCTTTCTGCCTCGGCTGCCTTAAGCAGGGCTGTCAGCAAGCCAGTCAGATCATCCTTTGCCCGGCACTGGCCATTTTGAATACTTTGAGAAAACCACCCAGTGATGACAGCTAATTGTTCCAGCTCTGAGGTGTGGCCTCAGTCAAGACTGTTTCAAACAGTCGGCTACTGAATTTTTTGCTATCACAAGCTTTGATGGACTCCAGACGACGTTTAGTCCGGTGTCATCATCCCGTACTGTCCCTCCATGGTAGCGTGGTGGAACTTCCCATTCTGGAGCAGAGGGTGCCTTATGACTGATGCTAAAGGGACAATACTGATTGGTGCAAACACAGCCTTCACTACACGAGTTTGTGTGGTTGGTGCAAACATCCCTTGCTGGCTGTAAAGCAGCATGTTTGGCTCACTTGGTGGGTCAGCCGGGACAACCGGGGATAAACCGTACTGTGTTACCCTCCTCAGTGCTACAACGTTAGGTCCAATAAAAGGCTTCTCTGGAGAGGGCTTCTCTGGCCTTTTAGGCTGAGCTGGTAACAGCAGGAACAAAGAAGCGGCTGAGAACCTGGGAAGTCTTCACAGCCATGGGCCCCAGATACCTCACTCTCTGGAGCTGTGGCACTTCCTAGTGCACTAGGGCCCCAAGTCTCCGCTTAGGGCGCACACAAAAGCTGTGGCGTCTGTGATGTCAACACGAGAGGGCGCCACTGGCCACCGCGTCTACGCACCTCCCTCAGCAGTGAATGCTTCTGAGTTGATCAGGACACAGCCTTGGTGACAATGGTACCTCTCATAGTTAAGCGGTGACGTGTGCTGATAGGTAAAGCTCGCGCTTACATTTATGATGCAGCGGGTCAGCAGAACATCACTCTCTATGTAGGTAGCGTCTCAAAGAAGGGAGGACTACATATATAGGGGGAAAATCTAGGTTGAACAATGGAGCTGCTGGGTAGGACTAAGGGCATTCTGCTCTCATTAATAATAATGATAATGATGATGGAAAATCGCTTAACTCCCAAACCCCACCATTTGTTTTTTAACGCTTGGACAGAATGCAAACCTCCGTCTCCCAAGCTGCCACGCTGCTAGTATCACGTCGGATAGATGGTGCTCACTCTCCCCCCAACCCCCGCCCCAGCACCCTCCCCGGCCGAGGCCTGACGGAGCTCGGCCACCCCCAGGTCACCTTGACGACCAGGCTCAGGCCCCGTGAGAACGTGTCCCGCTGGGCACGCACAGTTCGCGGCGCCCACAGACAGGCGTCCAGAGAGAAGCCTGGCGTGGCAAAGGAAACAAAACAAAAGCAAAGCCCAACGCCGAGGGGAGAGATGTGGAGAAGCGGGAAAGCATTTCGGGGAAGAGGCGCGAGCTTAGCGCCGCGCTGCTGTCCCTGGCGGCGGCGGAGGGGCCCGAGGGACGGATTCCAAACAGGCGTTTCTCAGAGGCAGCCCCGGAGCGCGCGCCGCGGGAGGCCCGCCG